CCATTCGTTACGTTTTTCAAGAGTATTCGGTCAGGAAAACTATTGATATACGTGTAGTATGCCGGATTTGAATACTCTTGACAAATCATACTTGACGTACTCTGGTAAGAATACGCCAGCGATACTCGATACGTGACGTATGCAATAGTATTCAATATGAATACCCTAGGGATACGTCAAGTATCATCCTGCGACTTGAATACCTCCGAATACGCGTTGTACCACGGGAATATTCTGGTCCTGAAAACTATTGAATACCGGCCTTTTTGCACAGTGTAATATCCCCTCATATGGCCCTACTTCAGMTAATTACAGATATATTCACTTTATTGCATATTTTCTTTCCTTGCTTACTGTTGTTTGATCAGTTTTTGCGCTATTTGATTTAAAATTAACTGTGACGACTTCGTCGAATTTGTTTAGTGCAATAAYAATTTATTRCTTGGATGAAAAATGACCATTTTTTCACAGCCTAACATACTTTCTTAACCCATTCCTTTTAGTTTGCAAAGCAACAGTTGATCTYGGATTCCTGATCGATGGCTCATCAAGTATTGGATCGCCTAAAAACTTTTCCAAAGAATTAGATTTTGTCATACATGTTCTSGGGGGATTCGAGGTTTCACAGAAAGGCACCCATRTCGGAGCAGTCCTTTTTACTGACAGGCAAAGACTCATCAATGATTTTGACCAATCTTATGACAAACAATTTATCATTGATAGAATAAATAGTACTCAATGGCCTACAGGATATACTAGAATAGGTGACGCCATAAGGTTTGTAAAAAAAGAATTGTACGAACAAAGCAGGAGGTTGAAAGGAGTACCTAAGATTCTTATAATTTTGACCGATGGTGTATCTCAGGACAGAACWGTGAGTAAGGATGCGCAAGAGCTACGTGATTTTGGGGTAATTATCTTTGCGGTTGGTATTGGCAGAGACCTTGATATTAATGAGTTGAAAAGCATGGCAACGAATGGCGATTCAGATCACGTCTTTCATGTCGAGGACTTGGACAAACTTCATACAATCGTAAAAGCAATCGACGAMATAGCTTGTCAAAGTGAGTCGTTTTCGAAAAAAGATATGTATTCCCGAAAGTAGCGATTTTGAATTTTGTGATTAATTTTTTAATTATTGTTTTGATTTTAGATGTAGGAGGAGTCACTAAGCCACCACGTGAGTTTCTTTATAGATTATTTACATTAGTATCAGAGACATATATGTATAATGATNAGCTCGTAAAGAAGTGCCAAATATATTAATAGTTATGACAGATGGGAAATCATCCGATGATGTTGGGCCTCCTTCTAAAGCATTGCATGACTCAGGTGTATTGATCTACAGTCTTGGAATGGGAAAGAACTTCAATGTCAATGATCTAGAAAAAATGGCATCTGATCCCAAAAGCGAACACGTGTTCACGGCGGATTTCAAGGAGCTTTCTGGCCTCATTCAGCAAATCAAGAATAAGGTGTGCACATGTAAGTGGATGTATGGAATATTGATAGCCATTAGCCTCACACATTCAGTGATTTTCTGTTATATTTTATATGATCATGATTTTTTTTTATATTGTTATATAAGTATATATGAATTATTGTTTTCTTTTTGATAAAAAAAAAAATCAATGCACTGAATAAATTACCTTGGGTAGGTATTTAAGTAACAAAATAGCAACAAAATAAGAAACTCACCAACACTATAATCGCTTGAAACAGAAACACTCATTAGATCCAAAACTGAAAATGAATGGGCATAAAAGATTAGTTTTCCATCCTTAATCATTGTATTCAAATACTAATGATTATTTCAAATTATTTAGTAAGCGACTTACATATATGGCTGTTTAAGTAAACTGATCAGGATGCATGTAGACCTAGAAGACTGTCCATATATGGAATTCGTACGACCGGATCTATATGAAAATCCAACGAATATAAGATTGTGATTAATAAAGTGATAGCGGCTTTATGTAGTGACTCGATCTTTGACATTTTGTTATAGCTACTAGGGAAAAGACTATTTGTGTCTGAACAAAGAGATTTCTGTATCATATCTTTATCATAATGTTGGTGTTGTTGATGACAGCTGTCTTTTTTGTTTTTTGTTTTTCTTTGTTTTTATATTGTAGAACTCTTCTTCATCTTTGTTTTTATAATTGCAGACTCAAGACCTTTGTTTGACATAATGGGAAGCCATTAATAAACACATATACACCAAATTCAGAATGTTCCAGAGAGGCTGTAGTCTCAGTGGTCAAAAAGGACATTCGCATACGCTCGAATCGCAAACATTGTTCCTTACCTGACAACTAAGAAAGAGAGTGCGAAAATGACGATCAGTTTGACTATTTGATTAACGAAATGCTCTTCATTAAAGCGAAAAGACCTTCGATTAAAGTTTAAAGTAACTCCTTGAAATCTAGTCTACTAACTTAGTAAGCAT